CAGACCTTGGCTCCACCTCAGCCCCCTCCAAAACCACATAGATAAACACACAGTCTAAGTAAAACCAGTGTGTCGCCTGTCATGTGAACTCAACCCTGAAGCAAGTTCCCCAGCCCTGGAGCCTCTGCTGAGAGGATCCTTCTCTTTGGCTTTGGGGGAGCTTCCTACTCCTTCTCGGGTCTCACAGTGGTCGCTGCCTCCTGGAGCCTGGTGGCTGAGACCCCTCAGTAGGCAGTGCCTGGATGGGAGAGACAGCAGTCAACATGCACCCCCAGGATGCCTGCTGAGTCACCAGCCGATGGGAATTCTGTGGACGACACTACCCGGTTTCCACTTAAGCTCCTTTGAGCCTTTCAGTTCCTCGGGAAACCTCCCAGGAAAACGCTCCGCTGGCCTCTGCCCTCCTCTGGGTCTGTGTCTCGCCCTTCCTCCTCCGTGGGGAGGATCCAGGCGCTGGCCCAGCCCAGCCTCCCTCTGGATACTGGAGATGTCGGAGGCACTGCCCAAGGTGAATGACTGAGAGAAGCAGATTTGGGGAGGGAGGCCGGATCATAGCCAAGCTCAGAGAGGCAGCTCTTCCTGGTCGTGCCGCGCCCTGAGGATCCGCAGGTGGGGGTGGGGACACTCCGTCGTGTGGTTTTGACCCCCGCCCACCCCTACTTTCTTACGCCCAGAGGAGCTGTGAGAGATGTCCTCAGGCCCTCCTAAAATCCCAGCAGGAAGGTGTCAACAGCTCTTAAAAAAGAAGTATCTAGGATGGGACAGGGCTCCAAGAGGCAACTAAGCATTTTCCCTTAAGGTGGCAGACCTTTTTCTACAAAGGGAAGCGTTGTCCCTCTAGACCTCTGATCGAGCCTAACTAATTCGGGGATATCCGCAGAATGAATGATACGCGTCCGCTTTGGGGCGCCCGTCTTTTCCGCCTCAGCTCTTCTTGTTGTCCCCACTTTAGTCACCAGATGGCATCAGATACCACCGGTTGGGGATAAAAGGTTCAGGGCCAAATAAGAGGCAGGTAAAGGCTCCCCCCACCCTCCACC